TATCTATCTATATATATATATATATATATATATATATATATATATTGTGTTATTGTTTATAAATATTTGACATTACGTATCTATCAGAAAGTAGCCAAAAGGCTAAAAAGCAATATTGCTGAATAGAATTAAATTGAATTAAAAGAAGACTTTATTTATTCCACTTCAGGGAAATTTCATGGCTGAATAATTATAACAGTGCAAGTATACATTATGAATTGAATACTGAAGTAAAACTATCAAACCTCCCTTATGTGTAGCATGCTAAATAGCAAATAATATTCAAGGGCTGTTACATAGCACCATAAGCACGGTATAAATGAATAGTTGAAATGAATAATAATAATAATAATATTAAGGATAATAATAATAATATGGATAAGGATAATAATAATAATAATAATAATAAGGATAATAATAATAATAATAATAAGGATAAGGATAATAATAATAATAATATAATAATAATAATAATAATAATAATAATAACAATAACAATAATAATAATAATAATAATAATAAGGATAATAATAATAATAATAATAATAATAAGGATAATAAGGATAATAATAATAAAAATAATAATAATAATAATAATAATAATAATATTAATAATAATAATAATAATAATAATAATATTATGAACATGTTGTCAAAATGAGTCGTATTAGATGCCAGGTAAATTTGATGTATGTAGAAAAACAAGTATGAGGTCATTTTGACCAAAAGAGATTCAGTTTTTCTAAGAAGTTTAATATTTCTTATTAACACATGCTATGTACATAAAATAGTTTTTGTAGCGCATTTTGTAAATCTGAAACAATAAGTGAAGTTGGTTTGAGAATTGCTAAGTAAAACAAAAAGAAAATAACTATCAGTTCGTTTCTTAGAGTTAATTTTCTTCAAAGTAAAATTTTAGACATCTGAATTTCAAAATGGTCGTACTCCAGTTTTCATAGTACTTCATTGAGGAACTTAATTCAAAGATCAAAACACAGCTTATGATGTAATCATGAATCAATAACAATATTTTGTTGTAGTTAAGTTTTGTTTTCTGGGGCTCCAGAATTTTGTCATAGTGATTTTGTTGCTTTTGAGGCCCAAGACACTTGTCTGAATAAATGAAATGAAATGAAACAATTCTTGATATTCAATATATACGGTACAACAAATACAAACTTGTGCGATGCGATGTTTTAAAAGTGATTCAAAAAACTATTACTGTAGTAAAATTATCAATATTTATTTATGAGTAGCACCTACATTTTTGCGTGTATAAATTTATCTAAAATTATTATTGAATGTTTTCAAATGTAGGTTTAATCTTGTTTTGACTGATTGTGTATTCTAAAGGTGAAATAATAATAGAATGTGATATTCCTAGCAACTATAGGCCTCTATTAATATGTGCTTCGGGTTCAGTTAGCCACCGTCTCATCGTGGTAACACAATGTGATGATGTCGATTCAGAGTTTTTGTTGCAAAACTCATTGAACTTGATGTATGTGTACATTCGTGTAAACTTGTATTAATTCACCATTGGCTAATGTTTCTGTGTTTAGGAAAATCCGCACCTATAACGGACGTAAAATTACACAATATCATTATGTTGGGTTTTGAGTAGATCCTTAAATAAAGGATAATCAAATTAATGATCTTCTAGTAAAAGCCTTGTAGATCAGCGAAACAAATATTTTGTTTTGATATGTGATGTGTAAATATCGAATCATTCTTTATTCAAAACAATAAAAAGAATGTAACATACAACTTAGGTATGAGCTAGACATATTCAATATTTCAATTGAATTCGTGAGAATTTGTTTAATGTTGTATTTTACGATATAACTTGTTCTTAATGCTGAATAAAAATAAATGTTAGATTGAAATGTAAGGTTAATTGAAATGTGTCGAGAGGTTCCGGAGATATATGGGCAGCCGAGTTGTAGTATTGTGAGCAATGATGCCTCGTGAAAGTGAGTTGTAGTATTCATGCACAACTGCATGGGAAGTATAGCGATCTAAACAGTTGTCTAAGATGAAACAATCCGATTTGAATGCAGATGTGATGAAATAATTACATAATAAACCCAGCTAACAATATTGCGTTCTAAGAACGTTATAATAACGTTACAGTTTGGTGACGAAAACGTTATTTTGTAGAACCATATGTACCTAATATCATAACCGCACAACGTTTGAACGTTCTTACAACGTTGTGTGAATGTTATTTTGATATACCTAGCCACAACGTTCGCAAACGATATAAGAACGTTTTCTGTTTGCTGGGAACTAGAGCGGTCGCTCCATAGAGTGCATACCTCCGCCCGGCCCTGTGACTGGACACCGTAACAATACGCAGGGCGATTATATTGTTTTCTATTAAGTTTAAGGGAAAACAATTGAATTTCCATGATCATGTCCCTTGACCTTTTCTTACCAAAAGTTAATCATCTCTTTATTGGATTATTAACTAAATTGTATGATCATTCCTCCTTTGTTTTTATCTTGCTGACACAGACTGAAGGGATGAATTCATAACCTTTTTGGTGGAGGTGATGATAGTAACTTGACAGTTAAATTTCTACAAACAAAAACAAGATAGCACAATTCAACAATAATGTAATAGGAATAGGTCACCAATAAGCAAAGCCTTTAAAAAACCGGTTGCCTTGTTCTTACTGCTAATAGCCATGTGGTAGATTAATATATAGGCCTACGTATACACATGAAAAGGAATACAGTATTGACAACACAAATACACATATCAGTAGCATCCTCTCTGTATCGCATCTTCTCGTATTCGAGATGTCCCGATGCATTTTTGGTGTCTGAGAGAAAAAAATAAAACACTTCAATTAAGGAATACCACAAAAATAATGCTACTGATCGTGGGAAAAATCTAAGTCAAGCAGATGTGACCACAATATCCCCCCCCCCCCAAATTTTTTTTTTTTTTTTTTTTTTGGGAGGAGGGGGGTGGTTTCGATAAATATAGACCCATAGTTAGCACACGCACCAAGCGATGGCTTGGTAGCATAAAAGAAAGCTGACAGAACCTCTCAACTTAAAATACTTAAATCGTGTAAAATTGCTTGTAATAGATCCAATCTTCAGTGATACAACGGCTGCTAGATCCGAATATTTTAAATCCGAGGGAGGACATAGCATATGAAAAACGTATTCAGTATAGTATATACAGATATACACTTTAAAAAGTATTGACCGGATGTAGGAATCCATACGCCATACACTATTTCTAATTTTTGGATTAAAGACACCAGTCTCCAAATTAACTCGCTCTTTAGTGGTGCTGTCCAGAAAGAGAAGGAAAATGAAAAAGGGGCTTGAGTGAAGTCTAGTAGCGAGACACATCAACCAGCTAGTGTACAGTGTGTCAAGCTTTAGGACTGCAAATTAACAACAAATCGTAGCCAAGATAAATTATTTTCCAAGGCGCCACGAGCAGCTCTACCAAGAGATGGATACGTGCACCTAATAAGATGACTATTAT